CATTCATTTGGTTTTCTTCTTTCTTCTTGACGAGGAGACACCCATTGTTGCATCTAGATGGCAGCTTGCTAGCTTTTAAGATCCCAGTCGCTACTTGCCAAAGTAGGAGGTGAAACAACGTTTTGTATAGTAACTGCTTTGCTTTTTAAGACTTCTTGCTCAACTAGTAAACAGACTCAGAATGATTAGTGGCTTTATAGTATCAACAAAGTTTTTCAAGTCTAGCATCAGATCCCTCACTTGGGACTCTAGCTCTCCTTAAGATTGTTCCCAGTTCTAACATTCTGTCATTTTCTCCAGTCATCTTTCTTTATAGGCACTAACTTGAAAAAGAAATTCTGCTGTCATAAGTCATATATAGCCATGATGCCTACTGAGTCACCTCATCCTTTGAAATTCAAATAAAATTGCCTCAAATAAATGCTTTTATTATGAAATGAGAGCAACTGAGAATAAAAACACCAAATGCTTAACTTAAGCAACCACAAAATAATTAAACAAATCAAAGAAAGTAGTAGGGGGATAAATTATCTGCTCAGAAACAACCCAAAAATAATCTTTAATTTTCTGTCACCAATCAGTGTCAACACAAAGGAAAAAGAAGCAGAAATATATTAATTAGAAAATAATAATAATACATGAGTTGGTAAATAAAACCAAAAGCTTGTCCTTCAAAAAGATGAACGTCATAGACACAATTCTGGTAACTCTTAGCAAGAAAAAATATAAACAACAGAGAAGAGAAAAGCAAAAAATAGTTTTAGGCACAGGAAGTACACATAGATATGGAAGAGACTAAAGAATTAAAAGAATAACTATCCATACTCTGGGTACCATGTGCCTTTCTGGTAGATTTCAAAGATTATTTTAAAAAATAAATAAAGATATAACAACAATAAAAATTAAAATAAACAATACATTTTAAAAAATGAAAGACCTAACTTTGAGGCCTAACTTCCAATTACTGCATGCGCTAGTTGTCTCACCTCTCTGAGTTTTGATCTCCTCACCTATGAGATTTGGGTGAGGATTAAAGAGGCAGTGAATATAAAGCATGTGACACAGAGTAGAAGCCCCTATCACAAATCTTCATTACTATTATTCTCTCTCCACACACTGGCCTACACCAGGATATGCACACCCCTTTTGATGATAATCAACATTAGACATTATCATTGTGAATATCAAATCCACTGTGAATAGTGGCTAACTGCCTCCTTGAACTACCACCTCCTTTGCCCTGAGACAAGAACTAGATGGTGTCTAGCTACCATTACTGAACACTTTGATCAAATACTGTATAGACGAATCCTGATCAAAAGGGGAAAATGCAGAGACTGTAAAATTCTCATGGAATTCATATTTTCTAGAGCCACAGGGGCTGAATGAACCCCTGAAACTATTACCCCGAGATAATCTTTAAGTATTACAACTTAAACCAAAAGTATCCTCTGAAGTCTTCTTTAAAACAATCATTTTTATTAATTAGTAAAGAATGTCTGCCTTGAGCACTGTACTCCACTAAGAACTATCTACATGGGATCAGATTGACAACAGCAACTTGAAACGTTAGGATGTTTAGGAGGCAGTGAGTTTATGTTAATAGAGGAGGGGCAATTTGGAAAGGAGGGTATAAAAATGGCATAGTGGTATTGTCTAACTCCCTCTAACCTGACAAGGAGGGAGAGGGACCAAGATCAACAACCCAAGGGTGACTCCTATGAGACAGAGGTCACACATACCTCCACCCTCCAACCTTTTTACTAATTCTAACACCAACTGCCCCTCCTCTGCTGGGTTCAATAATTTAATGCAATTGTCCTCATTTGCCAATTGATATCTCTGGTTCCCTATTTACATTGTAAAAATTAAAAATAAGAAATCAGTTCATTGCAATGGCCACACAGAACCCATAGATAATACTCATGATGATAAGAGTTTATTAGGGAAGAATCAGATTATAAAACTCAGAATCAGAAATGACTCGGGATAGAGTTTCTCATATCAGTATAGCCTCTTCTCAGCCATGCCATGGGCAGGCCTCTCTCTGGTCCTTGACACCTCAGCTCTGTGGCC